GGAGCCGCCATTTTGCGGGGCTGGGAGGGTGGGGGGGCAAGTCATTTCGCCGGGCCGGGACTGTGTGAGGGGGGGCAACGTGGGTGCCCGAAGGCTGGAGCCGCCACTTGCCGGTCCTGGAGTGTGTGGGGGGAGCGTGGCGATCGCCCGAAGGCCGGTCGCCAGGCCGGGATTGCGGGCGGGGGGCAAGGCGGGTGAGCGGAGGCTTCCGCGGTCGGCCATGTTTGAGTGGGCGCTGGGGAAGGCAGCTCACCGAATCAATAGTGCCCTCATAATCCTCTTCATCGAGCAAAATGAAAAGGGCGTCCGGTGAGGTACAGAGTCGCAGCAGTTGTGGTGTGATTGGTGGCGATATATGCTGAGGAGCAGTTCCACCAGCCATACACTAAGGGAGTGCATTTTAGAATTAGAACTTTGGCACCCACTACTCCTTTATAATAAGGGAGAGATAGGCAGAGTCCAGCAACTCTATCCAGGTGCCAAGTGCACAGAAGGGACTCTTGGTGCTTCGCAACAAATAGTACCTGCAACCAGACTGCACTGAACTGTGTCCCATATGTTTAGAGGAACACTAAGTCTGGGTACAGGTGTAACCCTGATGAGAAGATGTGTCCTCCTTAATATCCTTGCATGCTTATGGGTCACAGAATCCATGGGTAGGGGGTAAACAGGGCAAAACAGCCAGGCAAAGCTCAAATATGAGCTGACACAAGCAACAAGGAAGCTTGAGATGCAATAGCAATAAGTCTCAAATAACGGAGCCAAATGATATGGAACATTCCGGTTGGCAAAGGACAATGAAGACATTATGGGAACACAGATTTTATCACCTTGGGTGCTAAAATAAACAAAATTGTGAGGGGGGGGGAGAGAATGTATCCACAACTCTGACTCCTCCCCTGAGTAATGGTGTACCAGCCAAGTACATTGCTGATTACGAGAAAGATAGAAAAGGTCCAGGACCAGAGCAGGCTCCGTTGATTGTTGGTCTGCATGTGGGGTCCTGGTCCTGTCCTGCTGCCCTGGCATTTGAATGTCTGGCAGGTACGCGTGGTAACATTCAGAATTTCAAGAGCTTAGGTTTAACTTGGAATGAGCAGTAGAAGGCACTTGTAGCTAGAATGTTATGGATTCAGTTCAGGGACTTTATAACCATTCCTTTTCTTCCTTTGATGTTTTATTGTATCTTATTTTAGGGTTTTCTGTTGGTTTATTTGCAATATTCAATTCATCTCTCCATTGTGTCAGTAATTCCCTTGTAGTCCTGTTTTTAGTCTTTGTTCCTTTTTTATCATTGTGCCTTTTACAGCCTCCGAGACTTTGTCGCCCTAGGGGGTCCGCTGTCCTGCCCCCTTGGGTGATAAAGGACCCAGATAACACCTACCTCCTCCTCCTCTCTAAAGTCCCCTGCACATTGTTGGTCCTATATTAACGAATGAAGTTGTGATGACCCCTTATCTGGGGAGGTCTGGTTTTACTTTAAAAGTGTTCTTTTACTTATGTTTATCTGGGTATCTCTGGCTGCCACCAGGAAATTTTAAAAGGATTTCCAAACCTTTAAGCTTTTTCTATTTCTGGGTAGGTAGGTCGAGGGTTTAGGCTTTCATGAGGGTCTCTGTGTTTCCTGAGGAATTATTTCTTTCAGAGCTGGCAGACTTGAACAAAAGTAGATGCATTGAAATAATTTGTAAATAAAAGAGTATACCAAGGTAACCGGTACTGTGAATATTTTTAAACTTGCTTTGTGTCTCACATAAGATCTGCTCCCTTTCTGTCAGGGATCTGGGCATGTAACTTTGTAACTTTAACTCAAGGTCATGTAAGTTCACTGTTTCTCTCCAGGACATTCAACCTTTCTTAAACTTTGTCTTCAATTACTTTCATTTACATTTTTACTATTCTCTCAGAACAACCTCAGCTGTTCTTAACTCTTAATCACACACAGACTTTCTCTCTCTCAGACTTCAGAACAAACTTCTTAACTCTTTAACTTAACTACTGTCTTTTTAACTGTCTAAACTGTAACTCTTGACTGACACACATTTTCTAAAACCCCTCCCCCTTTCTGCCAATCACCAATCACACTCACTTGCCTGTTTCAACCACTCTAGACTATCATACAGCCATGCAACCAAACTTTTAAAGACACACACACACACAAACAAAAAATCATTACAGAAGTATTGTCTGGACGCTGTGCAATGTAATGAATGCCCCAGCAAGCAGCAGTCAGAGACCTTCGGCCTGCTCCTCTCCCTTGTGATATCATAAGATCTCAGCCAACCATTCCAGGGACTGAATCATCACCATAATCAGTACCATCAGAAAGCAAGCAAGAAAAGAAATTGCAGAATGTGAATGGACATAAATAGAAATGTAGAAATATAACCTCCAGTCTCCCCCTCACATGATTTAACAGAACTGTGGTGTTTTCTCGTTTCTGTCCACTAGATGCTGCTGAGGAGCTGATTTTCGAGCAGTGCAAAATCTTCTTCCTCAAAGACGGCTCGATCAAAAAGACACTACTGGCCATGCCCCTTTGAAAGAACCAGACAAAGAGCTCACATTACATTAGTTACGTTTTCAGGAAGCTGTGGTCTAAAATAAGGAACATTCCTTATATTAGCAGACCAACCAATGCTACTGTCTTCCTTTATCGGGGGGGGGGGGAAGTAAGGAAAGATCCTATGCTCAGTGTGGAGGTCCAACAGTGCTTGAACATCATCAGCCTTCCTCACCTCTGCAACGTCTCATCATGCAGTATGCACCTTTGCCCATTTTCTCTGGCCATTCCCTTTGCCTTTGCAGATCATTCCTCCCGGCCTCCTCCTTTTCCCTTCATTACTTTGCAGTCCTGATCAGTGATCATATCACTTAAAGCACTCTTCAGCTCCATTCCCACCATCTGTTTACAAAGGGAGTTTCAAATGCAGATGTAGGTTTTCTGATGCATGGAAAGTAGGAAGTGATCAAGTAGAAAAGGTGATTGGCAGCCACATTTCGCTTCCTGCGGTTTATAATCCGCATGTGATTGGGGGTGTGACTGGCAGTGCCAGCATCTAATTGAATGTGACTATGTGGCAGACAGCCAGTTCAGGAGGGATTGAAAGGGGGGAGGGAAACGTTCTTGTTGAATTTCTGCTCACCCCACAGCTGTTAAAGGCATAGGAGCAGGTGGGGGGGGGAGATAAAAGTTTACAAGGGTGAGAAGGACAAATGTAGGGATGAAGGAAAGTAAAGTGTTTTTAAAAACTGAAGGACAACAAACTGGACAAAAAAACACAGAAGAAAGGCCATGTCTTGCATGCATGATTCTATAAAAGCTTGGTCAGAAGTAAATCTTACTGAATTTAATGGGAATCCCAATCAGGCACAGGACTGAAACCCTAAAATACCGTATTTTTTGGACCATAAGACTCACTTTTTCTTCCCAAAAAAGTGGGAGGAAAAGTGAGTGCGTCTTATGGACCGAAGGTTCAGAATATTTTTTCCCGTTTTCCTCCTTTAAAAACTAGGTGCGTCTTAAGGTCAGGTGCGTCTTATGGTCCGAAAAATACGGTAGTTCTGTTCTCACACTAACCCTTATCCATTCATAACAATAAGGGAGGTGGGAGAAAAAACTAGACATGAGTGTTGGGCCAGATGACATTTGCCTTTGGATAGCATTTGTAATTTTTTACTTGGTGTGTCATTAGTTCCCAGATAATCCTCCGGTGCAGACTTTGCTCACCTGCTTAGCCAGCCTCCCTTCGTTGACTCTATAAATCCAGACCTTTGCAGCTTTTTGCAAGGGTGGCTGGCTGCTTAGCTGGGTGGGATCTATAGCTAGTGCAGTGATGGGTTGTAGTGGCTGTACAGGGTTGATTATCTTGGGAATTCTGGGATTATGTAATTTATTTATTTGTTTGTTTGTTCGACTTCTATACCGCTCCTTCCTGTAGGCTCGGAGCGGTTTACATGTAATTAGTTATACCTATCTAGGGCCACAATTGTACAGGGGAAGGTGACAGCCTACCAGCACCCAGGCACTTGCAGGGCTCTCTCTCTCTTTCTTCTCCCGGCTCCTTCATGGTGGGCACTTCACCTCCCGGCGCGGCATTTTTTCGGCACAGCTCTTATTCACAGTGACTCCTTCCGGCAAGACTTTTTCCCGGCGCACGGCTGTGTAATGGACAAAGTAATTTCTGGAGGGCTAGTTCCTTGGCCTTGCAGCATCACTATGATTGTGGTGAATATGGCATGCAGCTGCTTGTGTTTCCAAACCAGGACAGAAACGTTTGCTTTAAAGTTGTGGGTAAGGAGGGCTTTCTTTTCTGCTACTGGGGTAGTGATATCAGTAGCGCCATCCTAAGCAGAAGTTGTACCCCTTGAAGCCCATTGACTTCCCCGTAGTCAATGAAATCATAAGGGTGTAACTCTGTTTAGGATTATGCTGTAGAATTATGTGCCTTGTGGAAGGTTTTGGTAGAAGAGAAACACTATACTCTTGAATCCTTTTTGCTGGTTGATGTAACATTGTCTAAGATGGCTGGCAGAAAGCCAGTGGCTACTTTTTTGTGCTCTGTTCCTGGCCAAGAAGAGGGTAGTAAGAAACTCCTCTCAAGGGTACAGACTTGGAATTAGGCATGTGTGGGAATAACTATCAATTGTTGATGAGTCCCTGAACTTCAAACAGCATGAATTGGTGTCTCTGCTTTCACATGTTCAGCCTTTGAAGTTGTCTAAAAGTATCGTGGGCTCTCAGATTCTCTCTCTCTCTCTCTTATTCCTTAACTGATGCTGCATTTGTTTCCAGATGAGTTCAGGACCGCCTTTGAGGTTACTAATTGTTTCAGCTGCCTTCACTGGATCACATCTAATGAAGACGGGGCTGCTATTTTCTCTGTTGCCGACAGTGGCTGCTGCCATGTACTGAAAAAGGTGAGGTGCTTCTATGCATTAATAGGGCCACTGTAAGCCACCAACTTATCCTAAAGTATTCCAGTTAATACAAATCCTATGAGCATGCTGTAGGTTACCTTTACCCTCTGTCCAGGCCTGTAGCCAGAACAGTGGTGGTCAGCCCATCATTATTTAGTTATTATTTATACTTTATTAGTTATTTACCAGTTTTTAATTTGATACTCAAAGTGGATTGCATGGTATAGAACATTGTAATCTAACAGCATGAGAAATCTAATAAAAATGCAATAGGACTAGGTGTACAAAAATGCTAAAAAAGTATCAAACATGCCATGTCAAGCAATGCAGAAAATGGAATTACAAAAAATGAAAACAATGCGGTAAGAGCATGATAGAGCATACAAGAAATCAATAATATATATCATACAGACTACAGTCCTGTTCTGTATAAGCTTTATAAAAATGTCCTCCCAAGCAACTGTTTTACATAATTTGCAGAGCCTTCTTCCAGTTACTGAAACAGTAAATTCAACCTTCTTTTCTCTGTAAATCACTAACTTAAGGCTTCTAACGGTGCCACCCAACACCCCTGCAGGCTTTTAAAATCAGGGCTCTTCAGCCCCGCTAACTGCTAATTCTGTTCTAGCCAATTGCATAGAGAATTCACCCTTGGAAGATGTATGACAGGATTCACACTTTTTACCTCAACTCCTTCCTTTTGTTTACAAAGAAAACTTACACCTAAAAGATGTGTGATAGATTTCACACCAAACTGTAATGCTGATTGGAGGGGCATGAAAAATGATTGATGGGGCACTGCCCCTTTTTACACCACTGTGGCTATGGGCCTGCCTCTGTCCTGTATATCCATTGGGTCACTTTCCCAATATCCTATGCTTAAATTTGTGAGTGGGATTGTAGTCAGGGCACATGATGTTGTGAGGATAATATAAGTCTGGGACAGAGTAAAACTGACCTCTAAAGATCAAAGTATTATCCAAAGTACTGGAGAAAGGGAAGGAGGGTATGCTAAAAACATGATATCTTTGCTCACTAACACAGAAACTAAGTAAGTTTTGCTGACTCCCAAGATGTCCTTTAGGAGAACCATGCCTGTTTGGTGATAAAGAGTCACATTTAGTTGGTTAGAACCAATGCTCCCTCTAAGCTGTGGAGTCTTGTGAGCAAAAATCCTACTTTGTGAGCTGCTGGCGTTAAAGTTGTGAGCGAGTGATTTGACTACTGCCTAAATTAGTTTGCTCTGGAGCCCTCCATCCTGAGCTACGACAAAAATGTGTGAGCTGGAGGCTAAAAAACTGTGAGCTAGCTCACACTAACTCAGCTTAGAGGGAACACTGGTTAGAACTGTATGTATATATTCAGGAAGGAGAAGAGATTGCTGTTGTGATTGCAGAACATCTTTCTTCATATAGTACAGGTTTTAGGAAAAAGTTATTAAGTCTTGATTGAGTGGACCAAATGTAACAAATACTTCAGAAGCCTGGAGGGATATTATCATAATATTCTAATTCTTTTGGTTCTATTTCTGCTTAAGATGATAGCCTTATGAGCAGTACTGGACAGACAGAATACTCAAATGCAATGACATTTGCAGGGTGGCTGCAACCACCTGAAGGTCCAGGTAGAAGAACTGGCAAAAAATGGATGTGTCGCTGCTACTCATGACATCCATATGATCTGCCCGAAATTAGAACACATTCCGACACCAGATGCATTGCATGCCCCAGCCGCCAGTGCCTGGCCTGGTGCGCCCACTGCCTTCTCAGCCCCAGCCTGGCCTGGTGTGCCTGGTGCCTCACCTCTATCCTCCAATGTACAACATAGGTATGTGAACATTTACTATGTTTTCAGTATAGTGTTGCCAGTCAACAGCTGGTAACTGGCAAGAATCAGGTGGGTATGGAGGGACACCAACAATGCAACAGCATTAAGTCATTTCTGGGGGTGATCTGGAAGTGACATCATGCCTCTCTAGGAAACACCAAAAAACTTATCGGGAAGCAATAAAGTGTCTGGCAATTCCCATAGAAGCATGACATCACTACCACTGAAAACCCAGCAAAAACAGTGATTTTGTTGTTGTTAACTCCCACTGGCAGACAGAGCAGTGGTGGGCAATGAAAGCTGCCAGTAAGACTTCAATGAGTAATTAGTGCCAGCAGGGCTCTAGTCGGGGGGGAGCTCTCAGGTACGGAGCTCCGGAAGAGAACCTCTAGGGGGCGGGGCGGTCACGTGGTGAAGCCCCGCCCCCTTCTTTACCCCGCCCTCTGCTTCGATCCTCATTCCATTTGGGAATGAGGATGAAGCAGGAGGGTAAGTAGCCGGGCCTTCTGACACACTTCCGGTGATGTCAGGGGGTGTGGCCTTCTGTCACTTCCGGTGATGTCAGGGGGCGTGGCATATGCAAATAAGTTATGCTAATGAGTTATGCTAATGAGCTCCGGCAGCTCTTTTTCTACAACAAGACCCCTGAGTGCCAGCATTCTGAATGTTCAATATACATGAGGCATTAAGCAGAACTTTTGATTCTAGGCTCTTATGTATAAGTAAAGTGATTGTACAGTGAAAAATGGAGCAGGATTTAGTCTAAAATTTGCCTTTTGTGAACTAGGCCGTTCCTCTGTTGTCACTTACTACTGAATGTTAACAAAACAAAAAAGGAGGTGGGGTGGCACTATATGTCAAGAATGAATACACTTGCACTGAAATTCAGAATTTCGAGAGTTGCCCTGTTGAAAGTGTGTGGGTAAGGATAGAGCGAGGAGAAAAAGAAGGGGATACTGGTGTCTGAATGCAACCTTAGCTGTGCTTCGAAAAGGCTTTAAAGATGTCGGCCTCTGCAACACCTTGCCCAACTTAGAAGTTATTTACTTATTTATTTAGATACTTACACCCTTCTTTTCTCCCCAGGGGCGACTCAAACCAGCTTACAGCACTCCTCTTCTCCTTTGTAATGCTTGCCACAACAACCCTGTGAGGTACGTTAGGCTGAGAGGGCATGACTGGCCCATGGTCACCAAGTCAGCTTCCATGGCAAAGTGGGGATTCGAACCCGAGTTTCCCAGACCTTAGTTTGGCACTCTAGCCCAAGAGCAGTGAATTGTGTCCACAACTATGGCACTAGAGATCATGGCTATGTCACGTCTGAAATGTAAGAGGCAGGGGTCATTTCGTAGAAAAAGAGCTAGGGGGACTAATTAGCACAACTCATTAGCATATGCCATACCCCTGACATCACCGGAAGTGTGTCATAAGGCACACACACCCCACCCCCAACAGTCCCGGCCGGCGGGAGTGCAAGGAAGCCCCGCGAAGGCCCTCCCTGGCCCCAGACAGGCAGGGGTGGGGACAGGTGGGGAGGAAGCAACTTACCCTCCCTCTTCTCCTGCCTCCTCCTGGCTGAATGAGGGCCGGAAGCGGGGCGGCCAGAAGCGGGGGGCGGGGCTTCATCATGTGCCCCGCCCCCCGTACCTCACCCGGGGGAACTGCGATCCCCCCCGAAATGACCTCTGGTAAGAGGTGCCTGAAATCATTCCAATGGACAAATCCAATTAGAACCTTGAAAACATACACGTACGTCTTAAGGTAAAAGTAAAAGTTTCCCTTGCTTGAAAGCCAGTCAAATCAAACTCTAGGGATGTGGTGCTCATCTCCGTTTCCAAGCCGAAGAGCCAGCACTGTCCAGAGATGTTTCCTTGGTCATGTGGCCGGCATGTCAAGACTGCAGTCATGGATAAAAAGGGGTTTAGCAAGAGAAAGAACCAGAGCGTGGATTAGGCAGCGTTCTTCGACCAAAACGATTTTTCTGCCTTTTGCTGGAGACGCATGTGAGTCTGATTGAGGTTTGCAAATCCCAGTCATATATTCCTCGAGGCTGCAGTTCCTCTCTTGCAGCTAGCGGAACTACACCAACTGTCTTCCATCACACGGTCTGGAAATGGTGAGCCGATCAGCACTGAATGAACAATATTGCTTCTTGAAAAAGAATAAGCATTCTTGAAGACCTGTCCAAAGTCATTCGACAAGCAGCTTTCTTCCTCCTTTTTCACCTAATCCCATCTGTGTTGGCGATTCAGAAAATCCTCTAGTTAGCCTCTTTATGCCATCTTGTGCCAGAACAGAGAATTGCAGGGAAGTGTGCAGAAATATAAGAAGAGCAGACATTGGATTTATACCCCGCCCTTCACTACCCAAAGGAGTCTCAGAGGGTCTTACAAACTCCTTCCCCTCCCCACAACAGACACCCTGTGAGGAAGAAGAAGAAGAAGAAGAAGAGATTGGATTTATACCCGGCCCTTCACTACCCAAAGGTGTCTCAGAGCGGCTCACAAACTCCTTTCCCTTCCCCTCCCCACAACAGACCCCCTGTGAGGTAAAAGAAGAAGAAGAAGAAGAGGAGATTGGATTGATACCCCACCCTTCACTGCCCAAAGGAGTCTCAGAGCGGCTTACAAACTCCTTTTTTTTTCCCCTCCCCACAACAGACACCCTGTGAAGTCGGTAGGGCTGAGAGAGCTCTGACAGAAACGGCTCTTTTTTCGAGAACAGCTCTGATAGAACTATGGCTTGCCCAAGGTCATTCAGCAGGTGCAAGTGGAGGAGTGGGGAATCAAACCCGGTTCTCCCAGATTACATAAAATCTAGATTCAGGTGGGCAGCTGTGTTAGTCTGCAGCAGCAGAACAAAGTTTGAGTCCAGTGGCACCTTTAAAACCAACAAAGTTTTATTCTGGGTGTAAGCGTTCGTGTGCATGCACACTTCTTCAAATACATTGGAATAGACTTCCTCAAGCCTTACATATAGGTGTGGGGGGGTTAGTAACCAGGAAGGGCTAGTTAGAGTCAAGATGCATAAGTAACTCGGCAATAAGTACAGCTTAGATTGGACTGAAGCAGTTGTTAAGACCTGCGAACGGCAGCAAATTAACATACAGATTCCAGAGTTAACAAACAGATATGAGAACCAAGTCTGAGTTCAGTGGCACTTATATAACACTTGAAGAAATCTGTTTCAATGTACCTGAAGAAGTGTGCATCTACACATGCTAAATATCTCAGCTCTCGCTTATGCCCAGAATTGAACTTTGTTGGTCTCGGAGGTGCCACTGGACTCTGTTAACTTTTATTATCTGTATGCTAATTTGCTGCCATTCACAGGTCTTAACAACTGCTTCAGTCCAATCTCAGCTGTACTTATTGCCCAGTTACTTATCTATCTTGACTCTAACTAGCCCTTCCTGGCAACTAACCCCCCCACCCCCCCATCCTCTCTCTACCTATATGTAAGGCTTAAGGAAACCTGTTTCAGTGTCTTTGAAGATGTGTGCACAAAAGCTTATACCCAGAATCAAACTTTGTTGGTATTAAAGGTGCCACTGAACTCAAACAGAAGCATTGTGTCCAGATCAAGGGAGGTGGTAGTTCTGCCCTATTCTGCTATGGTCAGGCCTCACCTGGAGTCCTGTGTCCAGTTTTGGGCACCACATTTTAGGAAGGATGTTGACAAGCTCAAGGGTGTCCAGAAGAGGGCAACCAAGATGGTGAAAGGGTTTGAATCCAAGTCTTATGAGGAAAAACTGAAAGAGTTGGGTATGTTTAGCCTGGGAAAGAGAAGGCTTAGAGGGGACATGATTGCAGTCTTCAAGTATTTGGAGGACTGTCATGTAGAAGATGCTCCGGATTGCAAGGCTAGATGTAATGGGTGGAAATTACAAGGGAGTCGTTACTAGGTAAATATCAGGAGAAACTTCTTAACTGTAAGAGTGGTTGAGCAGTGAAACAGACTGCCTCGGGAGGTGGTTGGTGCTCTTTTGCTGGACGTTTTCAAACGGAGGCTGGACGACCATCTTTTGGGTATGTTGTAGGGCTATCTTTCGGCTGTGCTCCTGCAAGAGTGCAGGGGGTTGGACTAGATGACCTGCAAGGTCCCTTCCAACTCTAACGTTCTATGATTCTATGATTCAACATAGCTATTTGTTGAGAAAGCTGTACTGCTTTTGTGAACACTTTGATTGGTATGAAGAAGAACAGATTTTAAAATGCGAGCCTTTACAACTGAATAGCTGATCTTTTTCTTAAGGTTGAACATGTATTGTGAGGGTGCGACATTCTAACTTCCTGATAATCCTGGTTCTTCTTTTGCAATCTCAGGCTCTCCTCTAACACTGGAGCAGTGCCAGGTTTCATCTGGGAAGATTCCCTCTACAGATGTGCAAGGAACTGCTGCTGCTTGTTACCAGGCAGGATGCTGTTATAATGAAGGGGACCAAACTGTTCCATGTTACTATGGCAACACAGGTACTTTCAACTCCATAGAGCTTTCCAGTAATTGTCTCAGTTCCTGCCTGAAAATTTGGCTTGGATGCAGGCAGCCACTGCTGTGATTCATTTTAGCATGGGATGAAGCTTCAAACTACATGTCTGACCATTCTTTTGTTTGTTTTGATACACTATGCAACCCATGTTCATGCTCTTCCAAATATCTTCTCAAAATACTTTGAAATCACCTTTTTAAAATGTGGCTAGTTAATTTAGGTAACCTAATATGATCAAACAGACTGGTAACCCCAAACCCATTGGCACACTGGGCTATAAAAATACCCCAGAAGTTTATTAAGAAAATAACTGAACCAGGGAACTATTCTTAAGTGTTCTAGAGAGAGACCCCAAGTACAATATGTATCAGTTGGGTTTTTTTTTTAAAGGGTTGTTAGAAGGTTGCCAAACAATGGCAGCACTGTACTGAT